GTGCACTACTTTGACATGGCGCCATTTTTCTCTTCTTTATTATCTGCGATGTACTATGGTTTCTTGAGAAAGACTGTGGAGTGATTTTTTTTCGTTGTATTTTCCACGGTTTGTCGAATTCAGAACAGCGCTACTACCCAAGGCTAGAGAGTCGGGTCTAGTCTGTTATTTAAGGTAATACATTTACGCTTTTCACAAGAGTATTTGTGAGAAAGTGAACGCAACATACTGGGCTGGAATTTGAACTCGACTCGCCGATTTTCACTTTTCCCTACCCCCACATCTTAAATTTTATTTTATATAAACAGTTATAAAAATAAAGCTGTTTTTTTTTGTTTTTTTTTTAAATTTAAAGCCAGAAATTATGAAAAAAAAAACCCGCATCATGGATCGAATAGTTGTGAGTTTGACGCTTAACTTAGGAGTGACGCCAATAGCTTGTTCCGATTGACAAATTAAAATTTTTTCACACATTCCTGGAATATTTTAAATTTTATTAACATTGAATTATTTATGTCTTTTTTTTAAGAATTTTGCGGAGAGCAATTAAAAAAAATATCGTGAAGAATTTGAAAGAAAAAATAAACGCGAACGAAGTTTTCTTTGAAGAGTGAAATAGAATCCAGTAAAAAGAACAAGAAAAAATAGTTATGATCTTTATCTAGCATCAATTTCTCCGTGTTTTTTGTTGTTGTCGAGACTATCTTGTTACTTTAGAAGAATTTAACCAAATAATTTTAATGCCTGATGTTAGAAATAGCGTCCAACCTAATGACGTTCACATACAATTTCTTTGACGATTTATTTTCTTTAGTAATTAAAACAAAATATTAAGAAATACGAATTTAAAAAAGACGGAAAATTAGGATAATTGCAAAAATAAAAAAGATAATTTTCAAAAATTTTCCTCAATCATAGATAACTTAAATTTATGAAAGTTAAAACTAAAATAAAATCTCAGAATATTCAAATTATTAAAAACAAAATCGTTTAACTCTTTCATTTACGTGTTAGAGGATTTCCAGTATTCATTTTTTATTTGGACGAGTAATTATTTTTTATGTTAATTTTTATCACCAATTACTCTAGCCATAATCCTATAACAGTGAGCAAAAAACATCTGGTAATAAAGGAAAAGATCTATCGTTTATATATTTTATATAGTATATATATTCAAGCATATATTGTTAAACATAACAGACAACAAGTGCCTATCATGTTTGATCAGGAGCCATTCTAAGCTATGTATAGTTGCTTTAATTTCGGAAAAAAAAGACAAAAACTATTCAACATTTGGATATTTTTTTTTTAGTATGCTGTTCCTCGATGTAAGCTTTAAGCTCACATGAGCCATCATCAGAGTGGTTATATAGACATATCATCAAAGATGATATCCAGTTATGTTTACATATAAGTTTGCTATGCGACGATAACCATCGCGGAATAGTCACAACGCATTACATTGCATCTAAACATATGGTTCTTTTGTTAATATTTCGTTCTCTCATGTAGTACGACGTAATAAAACCGCATCACGAATTTACGACCTGCGCCTTCTATTCTGCTATCGTATGGCGTGTTTGCTTTATTATAAACAGGATGCAGCAAAAGTGCGACCCTTTTTCGAGCTGAGGTGGTTAGGACGACGTGGAGCTATTGAGCTGCCATCACGAGCATCAGACCTTACACCAAACTTGCAGCGTGTACTGAAAGATCTTATTTACAGGCTCAAACCGAAAACAGTTCCGAAATTAAAATAAACAATTTCTGATAAATCTTCTGAAATTAATGCAGAAATGTATCAAATGATTTGTAGAAGTGTTGCTGATTGTGTTCACCGTTGTATTGAACATGAAGGGCAACATTTTGAACATGTTAATTAGTTTTTTAATCATAACAAATCTTGTTGTTTTGATGTGACAATACTTACAACATTTCTTAAACTGTTGTAATTTATTTTTGTTCAGTAAAAGCGAGATAAAAAGATTGTTACTTCCAGCATCTGTCTATATTTCTGAGATGAGGTATTATGTACACTATTTACATTATTCACTTAAGCCGTCAACCTACGATAGTAGGTAGAACTATATCCAGTATGCAGCGAAAGTAACACTATTTACATTATTTGGACTATTGTCCTCATCTTTGTCGCCATATTCATTACAATGTTTCGGCTGTTGTACGCTCTGGCCTTCTTCATGTGGTTGGAATGTCGAACTGAACTCTTCATTTCGCTCACTGGGATCCTCAAGAACACATGGCACAGTGGATAAAGGCGTTAGTTAGATCCAGTGACAGGACCCAAAGAGTGTGAGTTTCTTACCCGGTTAAGGCAGTGGAGAACTTGGAGGGGGGAATTAATGGGAGATAACTGATAACTGAAATCCATTAAACATGGCACGTGGAACTAGAACAGCCTACCCCAGCTGCCGGATGTAGTTTATCGTCATACCCAGGACGTCTGACCTCTTGGGTTTTACAGGTAAGAAAACAGAAAACCTGCCAACGTCACTCGGCACAACTGTTTAAATATCAGCGTTGATGATATTTATCAAGTTTTGTGCAAGATTTAAGCCATCAAGAGTGCCTGCTTATATATTGTTTATTACTTCTCTTTAAGAATTCCGAAACAGGCTTCAAATGGTTGCATTTACAGTCAAGTCGTTGAAATGTATATCTTTCGAGTGCATTTCCTTAATGTCAGATTTGCTTATTTACTTTCAACTTGCCAGACGAATCTGCCGGTCATTGAGCACGATAGATATACTTAATTGCTACTAATAACAGTTGCGGGGTTTTAACATTGACTAGAAGTATCTGGTGAGCACTTGTGGAACCCATAGACGAGGTTGGTAAGTAACGAAGGTGGATGCGGAGGAGGGGGGAGGAACAACTGATGCTCAGTACAAGTCAACCATAGATCATTCAGACAAGAAAATAACAAAACAAATCAGCTTTTCTGCATATCCCTTCAGGACGTGGGCGATCATGACTCTCCACAACCTTCTATCCTTGTAGCAACGTTTGTCTCTTTGCCATCCCTCCCACACACCGTTCCGCCATCCATTTACACAAGCTCGTCAAGTAGGTGGCCCGCTGCCTTTCCCTGTTTTCGATATGTCCTGTAAGTGTTAAATTCTTCAAACCTTCACTCCTTGTTAAATTTCAGCTGTTTTTTTTTCTTTCTGATTTTGTGTATAAGTGTCCTTTTTGTTTTCATTTTCCTGAAGACTCTTTATACGCTCCGTACATTTTTTTTAATAAAAAAACAAAAAAAAAACAATTCACTTCAAGTAAGGCGATAATACCCCTAAGACGCAAGGGGGCTGCTGGGAGTGAAAGAGAATTGAAAGACTTAAAAAAAGAACCAGAATCTCAATCCTAAACAGGAAACAAGGGATACACATCTACTCCAGTTCACAAGTGGAGTGGTGGGAACTGGACAATAAGCGAACCTATCTGCTCATTTTCATGGTACTCAGTAGCCTTCTGTAGTGCCGCTCATCATAAACTTATTCGTAATTATTTCGTAAATAAAATAATTCTCCCGAAATCAAACTATATTTAGCTCCCTGATAGAGGAGCATTTATTTATAATCACGAATTATGTAGAATTTTGGATAAAATAAACGAAGGAAAAATTTAGCCGTTTTATACGGTAGCCCCTGTTTCTCGAAGGCCATGAGGCTTGTGTCAGTTTCATAGGCAACGCCCGTCTCGTGTTGCATTAATAATAAAGATAAATGAATGATTATGAGAAATGATCCGGTGGTTGCTTTTCAAAAGCCATTCAGTTATTTGATACGAACTCATTAGTTGGACATGTACGAAAAACAGGGACCAAGTGAGTGTGTGTGTGTGTGTGTGCGTGTGTGTGTGTATGAGAGAGAGAGAGGAGAGAGAGAGAGAGATAAGGAAAAAATAAGAAAAGAAATGGAAAATGGGGAAATGAGAAAGAGAGAGAGATAAGGAAGTTGGAACCAAGAAAACTAGGGATCATATAAATATACGATAGACTAAAAAAAAAAGAAAGTAAAATAAAAATAAAAAGGGAATCGAGTCTTGCTTCTTGACGAAGATAGCTCTTTTTGTTGATACCAAAATCAGTGAGGGTTTATGGCCACATAATGCTGAAACATAGGTTCGCGTACGATTACTGAAGTTAAGCAACTTCGAACCTGACCGCTTGGGAATATCAGGTGCTGTAAGATTGGATGTGCGGGTAGTGTAATGGATAATGGCCCAGAATTGTTAATTGGAGAGCCGAGTTTCAATTTCCGTTGGGTTCGATATGTTCATTTACATGCAGATGCCCTTGGAAAGGTATGAATTCACCTATTCTACACTGCCTATGGATTAATTAGTAAGACTTATATCACTAAACCATTATTATGTAAAAAATATCTTCCAATCTAAAAATATCTTCTGGCTTTAAATAACTTGCAAAGGGTTGATAAGCAGGTGAAAATGAATCAATAATTAAATTAAAAAAAGAAAATGAATAACAGAATACTGATAACAGATAAATGCAAAAACATAATCTCGATCTCATTTAACCATTGTTAGTTGGTTGGGTGCCTAAAGCTATTAAGATGCATGCATCAGTGTGAGATAATCATAAGCGGGAAATTTTCTTATTATTGACAGCCATTTTTTTCTTTTTAACTAAATGATTAATATAACTAACATTTTTCAGAATAAAAAATTCACTTATTTATTGCTGTTTTGAAAAATAAATATTTTGTTTTAGTGTTTTGTTTAATAATTAATAATCTAACTTAATCGTTTAGAAAAACAATAATCTGATTGGTCATTATTATTGAGTTTAATCCTTACTGCGTTGCCATATACTTGAGGCCTTGTGTCAGACTAAGCCAAGCTTGGTAAGAGATAATTTTATTTGGTTGAGAAAGAAAGAAAGAAAGAAAGAACAGGAATTTATCAACAAAAATAGTACGATTGGAAAACAAAGAGACAGAGAAAGACAGCGAAACAAACACTCAGAGAGAGAGAGACAAAGAGGGAAGGAGCTGAAGTATATTATTGTATGACAGAGAGAGAGAGAGAGAGAGAAAATACATAGAGAAACAGTGAGAGGGTAGGGGATCATTGCTAGAAGGGAAAGAAAGGGATAAATAGACACAGAAAGTGACACAAAACATACAGGGGAAGAGAACCGCTTCCCAGAGAGAGAGAGAGAGAGAGAGAGAGAGAGAGAGAGAGAGAGAGAGAGAGAGAGAGAGGAACAATAAAATGTTAGGTTTAACAAAGATAGACAATGAATGAAATCTGATTAAATGAAATACATTAAAATATTAAGATAATCACTGAAAATGAAAAAGAACTTATAAGATGATATCTACATAGAAAAGAAAAAAGAAGCAATTTAAAAAGGATGACAAGTTAACAAGACAAAAACATTGTCACACCCAAAGCTTTTGTTCAAAAAAGAAAAATCATCGAAGATTTCACTTATAGTAAAATTAATGCCCGTCTTTAAAGAACCCAATAAAGTGTAAATGCAACGATTGGACTCGAAAGAAAATATAAAACATATTTAGAAAGAAGTTAAATGATATTGCATGAGAGATAAATCCTAATGTTTTGTTTTTCTGCTCGAAACCGAATCTAGATAATGATACGGAAGACAAAGCATTCGTGCCGTCCTGGGTATGAGGATAAACTACGTCCGACAGCAAGGCCTCTGATCAGGGGGTTTTGAGGAGCGTGGAACCACCTCTTAATTGCTGGTGTTCCCAGGTCCACCCTAACCCGGGTTAGTAGAACCTGTTAAGGTCCCAGCTATGGACAAATAGTCAACCCTCCAAACTGGGGCCAAAACACTACGAAAATGTAAAAATAGGTTTTAATACCAGAAATACTTTGTAAAAAAATTATTACCAGCAAAACATTTTTGAAAAAAAAACATTACTAGCTATACATTTTAAAATTTTTTTTTTTACCAGTAATGGGCAGTAATAACCCATTAAGGTTGATATGCCGTAAAACAAACCAAACCATTTAAATTAATCAGCGCTTTTAGAACGTAAAAATTAGGGAAAATGTAGAACTTCTTTATATTTTAAAGAAGTAACTATTGAAATTGATCAACTGGTGATAAATAGGTATTTCAAGTAAACCAATACTACACTTGATGATAGTGATTTTCAAAGCGTAGCTTGGATGTGGCACAAGGCCGAAAGTAAGGGCACCCAGTGAGAATTGAACTCACTCGTAATTGTTCTAGCGAGAGAAACTTGCTAACCATTACACCACCTCGAGGTGCCCATTATATTGATTTTCCAATCGTAGCTTAGATGTAGCACAAGTATGGGGCACCCAGTGAGGATCGAACTCACAACTCAGTAAGTAATTGTTTTAGCGAGACAAGCTTGCTAACCATTACACCACGCCGAGGTTCCCTAGTGATTTTCCAAGCGTAGCTTAGATGTGGCACAAGGCCGAAATAGGGGGCACCCAGTGAGGATCGAACTCTCTACTCAGTCGTAATTGTTCTAGCGAGACAAGCTTGCTGACCATTACACCGCCTCGAGGTGCCATCTACACTTGATGATAACAGTAAATAAAAAAAGGTCAGTTTCATTTATATAATAAATTCAAATCAGGCACCTCGAGGCAGTGAAATTAATTGCGAAATCCAGCGAAAGTCACCTATGAAGCAAAAATAATTTACTGAAAGTAAGGACCTACGTACACCAAACTCTTTAAATTAATTGGCGACAGAAGAATTATCGTTGAACTATTAAAAGGTAAGCTTAAATATTAATGCAATTAAATGCAGCGATCAATTCCGAGTTCCTCTGTAGTTTATTTTTGCGCATCGCATCTAATCCTCCATACCTAGTGTGATGAAGGCCCAATTAAGAGCCTTCTGCAGCAGCAAGCTTAAATGGCACCCGATGGGACGGCTTTTAAGCAAGTTTTATATGTGTATAATCTCGAGAGATACGCAATATAATCTTCCAAGATGACCACGTATATGAGGTTGTATTTATGATCTTAATTCTACTATTCTTGATATAATGGATATGACTTAAAACTTTTGATGGTCTGTGTTTCAATCCACATAAAAGAATTCAAATGGAGATTTTCTAACCAAGCAAAATGTCTTCTCTTTGCTCAAAACTTTACCCCTGTGCCATTGTTGACTTATTAAATCTACTCTGCTAATGATTGACGTGAATTCATAAATACGAGATTTATTACAAAAGTGTTGTAAAGTAGTATATCGATACTCAGGTAGTCACTTAAACTGAATATGGACAATTTCTCCTGTTCTTGCCAAGAGGTGACTATAGTCTGCACTCATCACATATTTAAATAAGACACACTACTAAAAAAGCATTATATATAATTTCCACTCTTATTTCATCTAGGACAAATTGTTTGACTTTCAAACCGATGAGCAAGCATCACGATCACAGATAACTGTCACATATCCTGTCATCCATAGTCATGCATTCATAAAACCTTCGACAATATTGTAACATATAGGGATAGGTGGTTAGGCTTGATGCAGTGGTTGAGGTAGTTGCGTTTTTGCTAGAGATAACAGTGAACAGTATTCGATCCCAGGTAGAAACAAGGACAAAAAACAGGATTCTGAACGCTGATTTTCAAGGAAAGCAGGCAAGTTGGTATTTTGACGTAGTGCAATACACTTTTCTTAGCCCTAGATTTTTTCTCATGTGAAGCGACGTTTAATAAATATTAAGGGAGGTGAATATCAAAGCTAAGTGAGAAAATGATTCAATGATACGTGATTATAAACTTTCTTGGTTTTAGATTGAGTTTGTTATGACAATTGCTATTATTTCTCTAAATATCTACGGATTCTACAGTCTCGAGCAACTATTTTAGAAAATGAATTAAAAATTATATAGCTTAAAATTGTGATTAACAATTTAATCTGAAGCTTAGTGATTAATACCAAATTAAAAAAAAACAGGATAATCTATAATTTTTTTTTATATATTTTGAATATATAAGTAACAGCAATTTTAAGAAAGGCTACAACAATATTGAGTAAATATTATACTTACAGAGATATAACTTTGTGTAATGAGAATTTAAACTGTTTTAAAGCAAGCAAACAAACACAATTTATTCAGTTTACATTTTTTATTGACAAATGTTAAGCGTTTCAGTTGATGAACGTTATTTCTACTTGTGATGATGGTAAATTCAAAATGGCGATTACCTCTATTCTAGCAACATCCCACTGTAACAAGTTTATCAACAGCATTCTGAAGGGCAAGGCCTTTCAGACCTACTGATCGTAAAAGCAAATTATTACAAAAAAGACGAAATAAAAATGATCATTGAAACAGCTGAGTAAAAAGAGCCAATCAAATTCAAAATGACTTGAATTTTACAAATATTGTGAGTGCAGTTACTATCAAACTTTTGCAACGGTGAAATGATTGATTTCCTCCAACTTCATCTATAAAACCGAAGTTGACGGCAAAACAAAAAGGCAAGAAAATTTGGTGTGCTTCCAAAAATGAATTTTAGCCTCGGATTCTGAAAAAAGGTTATTTACTCAGATGAATATGGAATTGAACTTTTTCCAAGTTCGTGATAACATGCGAGAAGGCCCTTAATTCCCACTTTAGCGAAAAAGATACTGCAATAACTATAAAAAAAAGGAAAAAACTTAGCTGTAATTATAATAAGATGAATAATTCTAGGAAGAGGGAAAATGTAATCGCTTTATGCAATGTAAATTCGGAAAAAATATCAGCATATATTAAGGCAAGCCTCAAATATATGGAAATTCGTACATTCTTCAATAATGGTGCATGCTGTCATATTAGAAGTTGACTACAAATTAAAAGTTGTATATTTGTAAAGTTGGCCAAGCCAGTCTCCTGAATATAGCAAATTACTGGACTGTCGAAATGTCCAAAATAGGAAATGTCCAAGAGAAAGTTAATCTGCTTTAGAGAATAATGGAGATTGAGTAAACAAGCATTGATTATTCGAAAAGATTTTAGACTGTTTTAAATACAGTGTAACCCGGATATAAGAGACCCGGATATAAGAGAGATTTTCTCTGGTCCCAAATTAGAGCCTGTGTTAATGTATATAAAATAGATCAAATCCGGATATAAGAGAAACCCGGATATAAGAGACTTCTTCTCCGGTCCCGATAACTCTCTTATATCCGGGTTACACTGTAATAACGAATCTGGTACGAAATAACAGGTAATGTTTTTTAATGTATTATTTTTGAAAACTTGTTTAATTTGACTTCATTATAAACTGCTTAAAACATTTGCTAGATAAAATTATTACTTCTTCTTAGTTCTTATTAAATACTTTATTAAAATTCAAAAAGTAAAAAAGAAAATTTTGATTAATATGCTCTTTGAATTGTCGTTTATATATAAGTATTGGATTAAATCGAAATTCTCGTATTATGTTATATAACTTTTAATGCCCTTTGCTAGAGACTGTAGGAAGATTCAGGTTACCTATCTCTCAAAGCATTCGTATTAACCATCTGTACTATCCTACGGCACGCAGATAGATGTTAATATGTTTATGATAAGGATTATTATTCAAGAAACAAAGAGAAAATTAAGTAAACTTTAAGCGGAAGGTGAGAATAACAAAAGGTAAGAGGTGATAACATTATAAGGGAAGATGTTTAGGACCAGCTGCTGATAAGTTTAATCCCTTCAATCCTAGCCATTGAAAGTATCAAGAAGAAAAGGTGTTGTGACACCTGTAAAGAGGGTAGGAGTAAATGTGTCAGGTTCAAGACTTGAAATATTATAGAGGGGGAAAAAGGTTTTAAGACATTCGGAGAGAGAGAGAGAGAGAGAGAGAGAGAGGGGGGGGTAATGAGGAATGAAGAATGGAGATAGAGAATATTAAGAGGAAAGAGGAAAATGAAGGGAAATAAGCAGACTGAAGAAAAATCGGAAAAAGACGAAGAGAAAATGAAGAAAAAGCATAAAGATCGTGAAAGAGAGAGGTATAGGAAAATGAGAGGAGAGGAAGACAATGGAAAGAATAGGTAGAGGGAGAGACGTTTTAGTTCATAAAGTAGAAATTTTACCAGGTTACCTGGAGTAAAACAACACAAAGGCTCTTCACTGTATTAAGTGGAAGATTAAAAGCTATTCAGCAGTTTCGGATTAGCTCTGGCTCTGAATAAATCCGAATTTTCACAAGAGAAGAGTTAATTACATATACGCAAGAAAGTAGAATCGAGTAGTGAGTGGCATTTTATCTTATCTAATTTTTTTTAACGAAGAGGTTGCTATGTTTAAAAGATGAAGAGTCATGGCGTCGTTTTCTTAAGCCAGATTATTCCGAGTTGAGATAATAAGAGACCAAGCAATTGGATTTACTTACATTGATTAAGGCTTTATTTCACACGTATACAGTATGTAAATATAGCTGGCCACTCGTTTTCGAGGAGACATGTCTAGTGGGGCGGCTAGCCAATCTCTATGGCAGACGCTTGCTCAGAGTCCGCCTGTAGTTTATTCTGCAACTATGCTGAGCAGACCTTAGTTACAGTTACTGATCGTGTTATCTAGCGTGATCAACAATTTGAACAAGGCCAGCACGCTCAAACCCTCGGCCATGATGACTTGTGACTTCGTGCTATCACAGCTATCAACGGCCCCCAAGGTTCCGTTTACCCAATTTCACTCACAAGTCTTGGGTCAACCAGTGTTATGATTTTCAGGCACTTTCCAATAGGTGATGCACGCTAGGATCTCCTTCCTGACAAATCGGCTATGGTGAGATTCGAACCCGGGTCTCATGGTCAGAATGAGAATATTCTAACAACGTGCCAATATACAGTAATTTACCAAATAGTGTACACGCTCTTTCTGTCGTACAAGCAACACACACGCACATGAGGCTGTTGGATATTTTGTGTATTTCTTATTTTATTACAGCTCAGTTATTCATCGGAACTCTCCTGATTTAAATCCCATCAAAATGTGTGGTCAATCGGCAAGGAACGACTTTGTGGAATGGACATACGAAGTACTAAGATGTATACTGGGTCATGTTGTATTGGGAAAATACAAAAAAAAGTAAATAATAACGTAATTATTTGTTTTGTTTTAATTAATTTGCGAAAGATATTTTGAGAGCATGTACTGTTCAGGATATTCTTATTAATGATAATCTCAGACAGCTCTGTGATTCAGTTGCGGTAGTTTTTCATGAAAGTGACCTTCAGAGAACTGTCCGAAAATATGAACGTTCTAGCAAGTTACAAAAACTGATCTCTATATTTTAGTCCGTCTGCTTGCATATATATCCTTACATTTATATGGGCTTATTTAGACATTTCTATCATGAACGGATATAAGCCAGAAATAGTTAATGTAATTACACCGATTCAATTTGAAATATTGAAAAAGTTTTAGTTTATGATATATGCTTAACTGCTACCAGTGCTATTGCTATTATTTTCATTCCACCTGCCTGTCCCTAAATTTTACAAGTGGGTCATTGAGTATAATGAAGTCCCCTGTGGAAGGGAAACGAGTTTGATCTTTCATTTGTTGCATATAATGAGACGCTCAGTATTCAAGTTGATACGTGCGACAGAAGCAAAAGGGGAAATGCTTCCAGGTTTAAGAGGCTGGCCCAATCCTATTTAATTTAGAAAAGCGTATTACACTGTCAAGTCAAATCAATCTGGAGTCAAGTGAGGGAAGACTTGAGCCGCTTCCAATCTTAAAATTTGTTCGTTTGCCCATTGGGCAGTTTTGATTCGCCTCTTAATGCGTTTAAAAGCTCGAAGATAAAAATGACCACAAGTACTAACACATACATACAAATATATAATGTGTATAAAAGGTATATAGCTTAGTACGGGAAAAGGTCACTCCATCTAACAAAATGACGTTTTTACAACCTTTCTGCTATGTTACATAGAAATTACAAAAACTTTTTTTTTTAATCCCCACAGAGTGCTTGCAATGTTACAAATACGTTGCCTTGCAAAATTACATTAACAAAACATCCCAGGAAGTTATTAGAACGTACAGTCATTTTCTGAATTAGAGTTTTTCAATAATAAAAAAAAAATATGAAAATAAATTTTATACCTACTATATATGAAGATTGCGGGTTGATTGTTTTCGTTTTGCGGCATATCAACATCTCTATGGGTTATTAAATACCGAAGTCTAAATATTTTATACGTAATTTTATTTTATTTTATTTTTTGGAGATAATGGTCGTTTTAGTGATACAAGATTACTAATTAACCAAAAGCTTTTCCAAAAGCAACGCTTAAGTGAATATAACGAACCCAAGTGAAATTAGAACTCTGCTCTCCGATTACCAATTCCAAGACATTACCCACTACACCACCCGCATATCCAAGCTTACAGCACTTGGTATTCTCAAGCAGTCACCCATCTAGGTACTGACCAGATTCGATGTTGCTTAATTTTGGTGATCATCTGGGAACCGGTGTTACAACGTGATGTCGTAAGTCTATATACGACGAAACAGTATTCTGATATTGTAATTGATGTTACTATAACATTGTGACAACGTTGTGGATGAGCGCTCAGTTTAGCTTCAGAAAAATATTTGATTTCAAATAAGCGTTTAGTGTTAGCTGGGACTATAGTGGAACACCATGTGAGGATCAATGTCACTACACAACCTTTCTAACTATTAGGCTACAATAAGGGCCATATATATTGTAGTATGCGTCTTGGCGCAGATCATGACAGAACTTAATTTCTACTCTGACGTCAAGTGCCCGGTACAGGGTTTATTTGCACCGAGGGCATAATCATGTGACTACAGGCGCTGCATCTAGTTTGCAAGCATGCAAACGAACCGCATGACAGAGATAGTAAGATAAACACGATCCGAGTGACGAGATTGGCAGTTTCTCGTACATCGCAGATGGGAATGTAAGGTCCATGTTCAGATGCGGACACACATACTGGCCGAGGGCGTTTTGGTGAGTTTTTGATGTGCTCACCAGCATCGAAACGCTGATTAAAAAAATAACCAAATATGACACGAGACATCGCAGAGATACTCCTCATATCTCATAAGTGCTGTAAGGCGTGAAAACATTTTATGTTTGGATTCGTCTTGATTTAATGAAAACAAATTTAATGGACCACTTTTCTATTTGAGATTATCTGCTCAAGCGCAGCAAAAACGTCTCATTTAAAAAAAGAAAGAAAGAACGATAACAGGTGATGAAAAGTGGATTGTTTACAACAATGTGGAGCAAAAATAGACATTGAATTAAAATATACAGTAGGAACCGGTTAAAAGACAAAAGCCAATGAGAAGCGTTTGGGATTGGTCATTTGGAAGAGTTTTGTCTTCCATCAGAGATCCTTACGGCTTTTTGTTGACTCGGTAAGAATTGTAACAGATTTGGTTTGCATATCCTGTTACTCGCCGTACAAAACATGACCTTGCACTTTCGGATTAATCCATTTTCAATCCTACAAAATTCTGTTTATTTCAATTCTTTTAAAGTCTGTAAAAATCACTTAGAACAGGTTTATCAACTAGATATATACCAAGTTCTAGGAGGATCGCATCATGAAGTTGCTTCAAAGATCTCGAAATATAGTACAAAATAAATAATATAAACTTGAATCTATGGATAAATAGCTAACAACAAAATATATATGTAGTACGGATATTTACCAACAGCTGTTGTTAGCAGTATGCAGTGGCGTAGCTAGGGGGGGCGAGGGGGCGGACCGCTCCGGGTACCAGCACAGGAGGGGTGACACAATGTCACCCCCAACAAAATTTTTTCAACCAGGCTAAGGTGCCAAAAATAGTCTGAAAACAGTGGTGGAGACACAGGGTTCCACAGGCTGGCATATGACCCCCCAGAAATAATTTATGACCCCCAGTTTTATCCCCCCCGTCAGAAATCTTTTAATAAATTGTCGGGAAATTTGTGAGTAGGAAAAATAGCAATGTTTTCAACTTTTGATTTGAACTGATTATTTTGTGGTATTGGATTTTGTCTTGGATCATACATGTAAACAGTAACGTACCGGTCAGTAGAGTAAAGTAGAGGTAGAGCATGTATGAAAATTTAGCTACAGCTAACCATTCAGCATAGGGTGAATCGGTGTCATTGGGGTGACATTTGAGCGGACCGCCCCGGGTGACGTTTACTCTAGCTACGCCACGAGGGCTGGAAAGCAGGCGAAAGGTCAAGTAATTTTTGTCATGGCAAAATTATTTGAAATTATGCAAGAGAGAAGGAGAGAGATCTATCTACTTCCCTTTTAGTTCAGCTGTTCAAAAAGTTTTATTTAAAAAACAAGCGTTTGAAAGATGTTTTTAACAACTCAGTAAATTTAATCTTTTATTAAAAGCAAATATTAATGTTACCGGTCTAACGTTTCAATATTGAAGATTGGCTCCGGAGGCAAAAGAATTGTTTTTTTTTCTCTCTCTCCGACACTGATGTCCAAGTTTGTTCTATATTTTATACTCTATTCTCTGTTTATTTTATGATTACATAGAAAATTGAGTGAACTATTAATATAATTATTTTAAGTGAGAAATTTCTCTGCGTATCATTGATTTAGTGTTACCCATGCTGTAGACTGGGTCGATATGAAACATGGCGGTACAGTGAATAATCTCAGAGTTAAAATAATCGACATTACGTAATTGGGAATATTGCAAAATACGACTGGTCTTTTTCGCATCAAAGATAGCGTCGATGTTGTATTTGACGCAACGATTTGAATGTCGATTTTCGCGTCAATATGACGCTAAGGATCTGGCAGATTCATTACTTATATTCACAATCTCTCTTTTCACACATGCCTGACAAATATATTCGCACACAAAACTGCATATACTTTGCCCATGAGAAATGTTGAAGAGAAAAATTGATGGATGTCTCGGAAAATATGAGTCGTTGTTTGTTAGTTGAATATCAATTACTCACAAGCATGTTATTCAGGGATTTTTTTTGTGGTGGGAGGTTGACAATTATTTATATGGGAAAATATGATATATGAATTCTACGTATCAGATAAAAGGTGGGCTACTAGTTGACAAAATGAAAAAAATACTATGTAACGCGTTCTGTCTTTCAAAAGGAGTTCTTCTGAATAAATGTTTTTATTGATAGAAGATTATGTAAAAGTTTCAGATAGAGTGTATCTGTAAAAGAACAATATAAATAAAGGCAAAAAGAAAATTTATCTTAGTAGACGTGTTTCGTTATCCGAGGGACTTTATCAAAGCGACGCATTGGCTAAAGTAAGTTTTCTTTTGTCTTTATTCATAGGAGAATATCTATGTAGGGAGAGGGAGAGAAAACATAAAATGTCGGTTATAAGTAAACATCGAGAGAAACGTTAAAAGATGCAGGGACACTTAACTTTAAATTTAAATTTTAAATTTCTGGGATAGGAGCAGACAGGTCCGTTTATCGTTTGGACCTACTCCTCCTTTTGGACAGGAGTAGTAGTTTATCCCTTGTTTTCTGTTTAGGATTGAGTTTCCGATTCCTTCTCCTAAAGTCTTTTCGTTCTCTTTCACTTCCAGTAATCGCTTTCGTCTTAGTGGCATTATCGCCTTGCTTGTGTTGAAAAGATTGGATGCACAATCTAACCAACATCACTGAGTTTTCGACCGCTTTTTTCTGTTTTTATTGACGTTGTTTTTAAATCTCGCATATTGTAATAGCAGTGGTTTTGTTAAGGTGAAGTGGTGTACGAACCTGCATTTAAGTTTATTGGGGGAAAACTCACAAAATTAGTGCACTTTCTATACAATTATTATACTATAAGTTCCAGTTATGTGGAGCTTCAAATAAATGATGGTCCACCAACAAAAATATAGTATTCTTAAATCCTTTCTCCTTATATACACAGGCTTTGGAGTTTCCAGTGAATCTGCCATCAAACACTACTTCCTTTCAAAGAAATTCATGCCCAATGTTTCAGAAGAATTTTTGTTTAGCTGAGATAAAATCAGCTAATTGTTTGGTTTGGTTTGTGGCATATCAACCTCAATGGGTTATTTAATGCCGACAAGATTTTTATTTCTGATAATATTTTTTTCTTGAAAAATAGATTGCTGGTAATATTTTTTCCTTCGAAAATGCATTGCTGGTAATAAAACCTATTTTTACACTTTCATAGTGTTTTGACCCCAGTTTGGGGGTTAACTATTTTCCCATAGTTGGGACCCTAATAGGTGCTGCCACCCACAATCAGGGTCGACCTGAGGACATCAACAATTAAGAGGTGGTTCTACGCCCCTAAAAACCTCCCGATAAGAGGCCTTAATGTTGGACGTAGTTTATCGTGTTACACAGACGAATAAAATCAGCTCGACGATCTATTATATTTCGCTTTCCTCCTACTCCCAACCAAGATCTTCATACGAGACATTAAGAGCAGTTAGATAATTCGACAATACGTATTTGATAAAAAGAACTTTCCTTTAATCTTCATTTAGAATCTGAGATCTTTTCTTAATTATAGCCATATATATGACATTTTTAGCTCAACTGCAATCAAATAAATATAAAATAATCTGTGCTACAAGAGAGGAATATTCAAGAACTTATAGTGGAGGTGGCACTTATTTATATCAAACATAAAATAGATTATGCTTCATCAACAAAAGTAAAATGTTGTCAAAAGCGAATTAAAGCAAAATGATTGAGATTAAATGCAAACACTCAAGATGAATTTGCATGAACAAGAAGACAAACTTGTGGTTTAAAATAAAGTAGAAATAATTATTTTATCTGTTATAGTGGAACACAACTATTTTATAGTTAATAGACTCTCCCACCTATAATAAGTAGGAGTAGTAGGAGTCGCTCAGGGGGTTCGGTCAGTTAGTCGATGCCGGACGACCGTTAGTCGGATATTAAAGTATCAGGCACCACAACTAGATTACTCTGCGTCATTACCTATTATATCAAGTTCCTAACGTTTTGTACGTCGAACCTATTTTAAGACCGACTTAGTACAAATACAAGCCTCCACTGTGAAACCACTCCACAACATTATCAAATAATACATTTTTTTAATTTCGACTTTAAAGATGGGGTAAAATAAAACGGCAACTTCCGAGTAGAAAATTAATTAAAGTCGATCTTTGTAGAAAGGAAGACATACGAGCGTGTGTGTGTCGAGGAGTACAAGGTGCGATGGGTAAATTGTTGCCATTTCATACTAAATTTTGTGCATGCGCGTTGCACAGTATAGTAGAGTCAGTTGGGCACCTTCTGTGAGAAAAAGAGCACCATGATGCAATTCACTCTGCCAGAAATTTGGAAAAAGCATGTTGTACTACCTGGGATTCGTGCCGGAAGCTCTAATACGAACAGTTCAGAGTGTTTGGATGTCAATCTGAGGACAGTGGAGGGGATTCGGAAAGAGTTGGATGAGTCTAATGGTGATTACGAAGGTGTTTGGAGTAATTGCTAGTGATAGCGACGTTATGCCTCTATTCATCTTCCCACAGGGCTTCAGACTCAACACGGAGGCTTACATCAAGCGCCTTGAGGTGGTAGTGCTGCCCTGGATCAAGAGGGTGGCTGCTGGAAGACCCTATGTCTGGCAACAGGACTCTGAACCATGCCACTCAAGCAAGAGAACCTAGTCATGGCTATCAGACAATTTTTGCGACGACATCACTCCTTACATATTTACTCGCCAGACCTCAACCCCCTTGATTATTATGTGTGGGGCGCAGTTGAGCGAGAGACCAACAAACATCCTTGTAACACCAAAGATAAACTGAAAGCAAGGATTATAACAACATTCTTAAGTTAAATTCAACTTAAGAGGAGAGCGTCCAGAAGAGTTGCAGGAGATTCTGATGTCGTCTGTAGGCCGAGCTGAAGCCGATGTCGATTTTATTCAATATATTTACTCTTTAGCATTTCAGGTTATTTTTGTTTACTTTGGTAAATATATCTGTTAAAATGAGAGGACAGTGTTATTTTCATTTTTTTTTGTGTGTGTGTGTGTGTGTGCGCGCACGCACGCGATTTAAACGACAATTTATCCATCGCAGTCTGCAAAGTTCGACATTTGACTCTGATTGGACCGCTTGTGCCTTCGGGATGTGTATGTACGTATGCACACACACACACGCAAACACACTCACATATGTATTTTATATGTGTGTATCGGCGTCGGAGAAACGAACGTGCTCGATTCTGATCAAACTGGCGGACATCTTTCCTTATATAAAGGCGCTAGTATCATCAAACTAATATTTTTAAAGCGTCCTGATTGGTGAATTAATGTAAGTAAGAAGGCGTTCCTTTTAAACTATAAAAATTCAGTAACATTTTTCTTCGAAAGCAGCTTTTCTTATTGGCTCTAAAATGATTGTTAATTACATTTGAATTTATACAGAATCATATTCGACATATTCAAGTTACTGCATCTTCATTCCCTACACATCTACAGTGAAATGCATAAGATTTGAAACGTTAACTTGATAAGATTTAGCTCCATGTTCAATTGTACAGTTATCGATCAAAGCTTGAAGCAATCAATACCAAATGTACAAAATATACGAACAGAATGATTCTAGATTACAGACTAATTCCATTTTGTTTTCTTTTTCACTGAAACATTTTCTCATCGCAAGAATTGCAACGTGGACAATCTATTAACGTAATTGAAATAATTTTGTTCAGCACTCAAGATTTTTTTTATTTGTACCTGTTAACTGTATATTCTTTAGATAATTGTAATTAATATAGTCTGGTCGTTGGTACTAAAATCAGTATCAAATAAATCGACATTGATATAAGCTTACTCTCAATCTATGCATTATTAATTATGTTTTCCTCAATCTTTGTTAAACTTGCGTAGATCTGGTGCAAGTAAAATTTACAACGCTCTCACCATTGAACAACATCATTAATAAAGGTTTGAATAGTGAGCGTGGGTTTAGCGAGTCCAGTAGATACTTCTACTGTATAGCATGATCAATCCTCATTAAATACTTCAGAATTGTGGCCTTGTGCCAGATCAAGCCATTATTACTGAATAGCATTATATATTATCCAATGTCAGATGCTGTAACATTGTGTCGTATTTATCTTGAGATATCTACGGTGGTATCTCACTCTTTTATTTTGCAGATTTTTTTACAGCATTTTTTTTTACTGCTTTCTTCTTGCTTGCTTGCTTGATTTGTTTTCTACGGCTTATCAACCATTTACAGGTTATTTAAAGTCAGAAAATATTTTTAGATTGCACGAATTTTCTTTTGGGAGATGATAATTTAATGAAACAATTCTTACTAATTAACCCATTTCTGGGGACAGAATAGGTGGATTCATACCTAAATCAGAACTTGATAAAGAAGAAATAACGTGTATATAAAGTGGGGGATTAATTTTATATTACAATCAATATATAAACTTTGTAGCCACTGTAGTTTCTATACATTTATATTCTAAGAGAATGTAAATAAATCTAAAAGACATGCCTGTTTAGCTAATCAGTATTTTATTGATTGATTTTTCGTTTTCTACAACTTATCAACCCTTTGCAGGTTATTTAAAGCCAGGAAATATTTTTAGATTGTAAGAATTTATTCTTTGGAGATAATAATGCTTTAGTGAC